AAAGAAACAGCACAAAAATATGTCAGTTTGAAGAAGAAGAAGAAGAAGAAGAAGAAGGTGTAAGCGGTTAAGGAGGGGGCGAATTTCAGTTTCGCCACATTTAAGCTCAGAAAAGAAAATGGAGTCCAATGGGCAACGATATCAATCTGATTGACAATAACGAATGACTAGGGAGTGGGGAAGCACACTGCACCTATTTGGGGGACACATATCTATGAGGATTCTAATTATTTCTTAAATTAGGCACACTGGGCTCTAATATGCCTACCGGTGGGCGCCCCACATGGTAGCGAATACCCCCAGAATCAGATGTACGTACCTGTGTCCTCGCAGATACAGTGACCAGTGCGGCTAGGAGTAGTATGAACCACGGGGTAATCATATCACTAGTGGGAGGAGGTGCACGAAGACTGAATGGGGCAGCGAACGGGAGCTCCGCCTCCTTTCACTCCCTCAACCATTCCCTCTACTGCATTAAGTACCTTCGTCAGCATAATGGTCACACACACAACTTCTCCGGGTACCTAACGGTGGCGGTAGCAACAGTAGGCGGAATAGAGCAGCACAGCGTAGTATAGGTTAGGCGACTGTAGGCGACTATACAGGAACAATTTCCCTATGCAATGTGATAATGTGATAGAGGAAGGAAGGAACGTTGTCGAATCATGATGACAATGAACATTACTAGTAACAAAAATAACAATGAAAAGCGTAGTGATGACTAGATGATGAACACACACACACACAGTCACGTGACGAGAGAGGTGACATGGGCGAAAAGCAAAATTAGCATTACAAACACAGAAAGGGGTATGGGTACATTTACCCGGAACTGGATCGACGCGACAAACCTCGCATGGAAATTCGTGGTGACTTGGACGAATCCGGGCCTATCTTTGGGGCACAGGCTTTAAGTAGATTGGATAAGTATTGGAAATGTAGGGTCAGCCTGTGCCTCGATGGTAGGCGACAGAGTCGTTTCGATCCCCACGAATTTCGTAGCGCAATTTGCCACGTCTATCCAGAATTGGGTGAATGTTCCCTCCCCCCACAAGGAGACATAGTGGAAGGAAGAAAATGTGAAACAACTGTGAATGAAAGATAAACTCAGATCTAGTTGGAATAGGACGACGACTGGTCGACAACAAGTAACGGCGGACTATGCGATGCTATCTCTACCACACCCGACACTTGTGACGAGGATTCATCGGTGATCCTACCGGACAGTTGAAGGCGTTAGCAAAGTCCAAACTGTTCGATAATGGACCTTTCACCCTGAAATAAGCAGGAATAAGGTATTCCCTGTGCTCGTCAACCAGAGTTTGGAACTCAGGTCCTCTACTTTCCGAGCCTAGATAACCGACAGGAACAGCTCGGGTGATGAGTGCCCTTACGGAGGTTAAATGCCAATATGTACAATGTTTTACAGTATCGGGGCCTAACGGTTTCCTAGGTGAACACAACTCCCACCTGATTGGACCGGGTGAGTGCTCCGATGTCCTCAGCTTCCGCACAGCTTCCTTGTCGTTCATTGTCCCGCACCAAATCTGGAAACACGTGGAATTCAAGCTCCACCCAGAAGTCATCATTTCACAGAAGGAAATCGAGATTCCCCGTAAGGGAACGGAGAAAAACAATTCTCAAGAGAAGATAACATACCTGGGCATAGTTAAGGAAAAACAGCTGATCATGTGTCAAATTCACGCCGGGCAGTCGTGGTGGATGTCGATGCGACTGCTGGTACTTTTTGTAGGCCCTAAAATAAGAAACGGTGCAGTTGTTTCTTCCGAATCAAGAGCGAAGTGCAACTTTTATGAATTCATAGGAAAATGGTTTCTTCAGATTATCTGAAAACCTGAGTAGGGTATTGACATGATTCATGGGAACAAATTTGGCAAAACAAGCTTTCGAAGGCCCAGCTCGTGGTAATTCTGAGGTATCTGTCTCAGGTCAAATAATGGAAGTTATGCTGAATAATGAATGAGAATAATACATACAGATGGCGACCAAAGCGAGAAAATAGGCAGATTTTAAGAAGTAAAAGCTTCAGAAAAGTTTCAAGAAAGGGAAGGGGGAAGTAATGAACGAGATTATGCGTCTGTAACCGTCTGAGTGTCTCCCACATAAGTGCACTATTCAACGGCGTCCTTATGCTTCATTGTGAATGGTGCTGCTCTAACAGGACCGTCACAACACCCATGCCTGTTCTGGAGCCCCTTTAACGCCTTGGAGTCGACCCAACAATGTCCCACGTACTGACCACAAGTTCATCCTGGGGCTTAATCTCAAAAACCATTTTTATCGTGAGAGTTTTGATAAAAGTTCACTTAGAAGGCAAAACTTCGGTTTCGGTCCCGCCGCCGCTACTTGAACTCGTCCTCGTAGATGCCGAGCACCGTACTCTTTATAGATACTGCCTGTCCATACTTTTTTTGAGCTTTTTATCTGAAGAAACTGCAAAACTGGAACAATGCAGATATAAAATTGTGGACGTCATTGTCGTAGTAGAAGGAACGGTGACGCCAGCTTACCCCTTTTCAGTTACCGTACGTTTCCGCGATAAGGAGTAATACGATGGTTTTCAAGTTGTTCCCAAAATCGAAAACAAATCTAGTTGTAGTTGTAATTATGATTATTGGCTTAATTGTAGTTACAATTTATGGAAGGCTAGGCTCGGTCAATACAAACAATCGTAAGCACAGCACCCGCTAACGTTCTCCCACGCTGTTTGGAATGTGCCACAAAACAGACGGAAAATCAAAGCACATCTTTTGACTCAAAAATGGAAGAGAGTAGAGTTGGCCGCCGTGTAGCACATCCTTGTTATTCAATAATATGTTGCCATTTCTTTCAAATGGCTTGACTAGGGAGGAACGGACTCAGGGGGACATCCCTGACTGGTGAAAGACTGAATGCAAGATAACAACTTTACTTATCCTAGCAGAAGGAAAATCACGAACGACACAGAGCATCTCCACTTTATATACGATTCCTTTTTAGGACCCATAGAAGTTACCGAACAAAGGTTGGATTGCTTCCTGTGATTTACAAACGCCAGACGTGATTTTAGACAGGCTCTTCAGACAAGTCTTCAGTGGAGTGACTACAGTGATGGAAAGCCCAAACGGATGGTTGCTGGATTAGTTTACGGTAATCCATGATACATCAGTTATTGCCGTACTGGTTCATGAATGGGAGACATTGTGGAGGCTCGTCTTAGCATGCATTTTGAACATCGGTTCAACATCAACTCAGAAAACTGGGTTCCATGAAAAATGACCTTTAAATTTCAAAAATAAGCTGGTCCGATATTGAGATCAGAGTACGTATCCTCCTAAACGAGTCCGCCCCTCAAAGAATGGAAGGCTTAGTTAGCCTGAGCGGGTATGGTCGTGCATGTTTGAAACCCTGACTATAACGGTGGCAACACACCGCTTGGCCCTACGCCCCCCTCCTTCCCCCCCACCCCCAGAAGGTTGTAGATTGCATAAAAAAGTTTTGTAAGACCCCATCATGTTATTTACTCCGAATCAAAAAAGTTTTTTAAAAAATCGAAGACTCACTTATAAGCCTGCTTAA